TGTTGGTCGTCCGCTCGAGAATCCGAAGAAAAAAAAGACCGCATAGCCTGGCGCATAAATAAAATCATAAACACGTTGCATTCCGATACGAACGGTTTTTTTTCTCAATATCTGTTAAATTTTACAAACTTGATGTTGAACGCCGATAAAAACAGCAATGAGATCGATATACTTTTAAACGACGTGCAACAAATAAACGAAATCATCAATAAAAACGAAGAACTCAGCGCCAACGTGGACAGATATCTGACCACTCGCGATTACTTTCTATCACCGGTACCCATAGCGTTGGACGCATCAGCGTATCCGGTACCCCCCGCCTTGACGTATTTAAACGATGGTAGCGAAGACGACGATTACGACGGAACCAACGATGTAGGAAATAAAATGGAAGAAGACGTTTTAATATAAAAAACAACGTACATGCGTTAATATAATAATTTTTATTTGTACAAAAAAATTAAAACATTTAATATTTGTATCCGATCGTGTAGCGAGACAAAGGCCGTCGATTCTGGTGCCGCCGCGATCCGTTGATTGAATCCTTTTGTAATCTTTTGTTTTTTCCGCAACACGTACGACGGTCTACGCGATGGATCATCCGATACGGAACGCTGCAGTTGAGCTTTACAACCCGGTCGTTTATTAATTGCGATATATACGGAACACGATCGGGTAACCGTAAATCAGATTGCGTATACCACTGCCGACGGTGTCGTTGATTTTTCGATTTGCCGATCGCATCGAAACCGTCCCCGTTGCGCCATTGTTGCGACTGAACGACGTTTGGCGTAAATTGTAATAACTCCGAAAACTGGTGATTTTGTAAATTCACACAACACGTCAATATCGTGTCTACGGCTCGGCAAAATGCGCAAAACCGTAAATTCTGCGGACAAAACATGACCGACGTCTGATTGCGTACAATCGCGTTACCGATATAATTTAAATTTTTATCGTTCAATTCGCTGTAAAACGGCTGATACGGAAACCGTAAAAACGTGTTTACCGAATCGTTTTCAGTGCCTATACAATATATGCGTTTCGGTTTGTGGCGTCGGAGCGCTTCGGTTATGCTGCTATAATATCCGTGTATGGCCGCGTCTACAAACACTCCGCCGTTTAGGATTATGATTGCAAATCTTTTAAAAAAGTGCAAATTTTTGATTCTACGATTATTGTTGCCGCCGCCGCTATTGTTTGTCCGTCGATCCATAGAGTTTGTATTTTTTTGCATGTTTTCGTAAATAGTTGCGAAAAACGCTACGCACCCATCACCGATTTCGTTACCCATGGTCCGTTTATATTTTTCCAACATTGAGTCAAAACACTCGAGATTTTTCAATTCGAACTTTTTATACAAACACTCGGAACCCCATACGTAATTGATTAAACGCGATGATAGTACACAGTCCAGCGACACGGGTATAGTAGTATCGTGCGCGTACAAAGTTATTACCGGTTTATCGTAATAACCTCGATTTTCCACGCTGTCTCGTATCAATTTTTTGATTTCCACATTTAGTTCTAAATCTTCTTGCAACACGTCGTTTACGAACGTCGTATAATTTTCGCTCATTAAATTTTTATCTATAACGATATTTATACCGTCGTCTTCGTCGTCGTCGTCGTCGTCATCGTCGTAATTTTTTTTAACGACACTCGTAGTTGTACAATTAATATCGACAATCGGCGGCGTTACGGTCGACGGAGACGTCAAATTCTTTTCGTCTTCGGTACAAAACAAATCCAGCACGTCGGAATCGTCACTGCGAACGACCGAACGTCGTTCGGTTTTACGCACGTCATCGCCACCGTCACGACGATCTACGGTCACTCGAATCGTTAGATTTTCCATGATGCGTCCGTACAAGAGAACGGTACGCGCTAGACTATCGAACAAACGCGTTACCTATATAGTATACATAGGTTATTGGGAATAACCATGTGGTCGCCGGGATTGGAAAACCTGCACTGTTCGTTGATCGTTCAAAAAGACCGAACGCCGTACAAAAGTAACGGGTTTAAGAATCAACTGATCGAACAACTGACCAATTCGTTTGTACAAATCGAAAACAACGGGTATTCGATCATCAACATTGCCGGTTATTTGCCATCGTTGCCGGTGAATTCGATATTCACCAATATATCGTTTTATCCGTCCAACTGGCCGGATTTCACAAAATTACCAATAACCGGATCGGTAACGACGACCAATAGTTCGGACATAAGCCAAAATCCCAAAACGTACAAACAAACCGTACCCGTAAACACGACGACAAACGAACATCGCACAAAAGTGGACGAAACGACGCGAGAACCTAGACCGAAACGAAATTTGACCGTTTTGCCGACGGTCGGTAACCGGAATCACGAAAACCCCAAACAATACGAAATCGAATTGTCCAAATTAAATTTGCTCACGGTCGACAAGCACATAGATTACTATAGATTTACAGTGCTGTCCGGTTGGAAATGGCAAAAGACTGTGACCGTAAACGACGATACCATAGAGTCGGAACACGAAGCTCAAGCCGTACTGAAATCGGTCGTATTACGAATAGTCGACCACGAAACATGGACCGCCGTGGAAAACGGCGAATTCGAATGGAATCCCTTGACCGCGGTCGCGGATCTCGTGATGCGTCTGAACGTTTCGAAAATAATGCAAACCGCGATTTTCAGTAAAACCGATTTGGAGAAATTCGTCGAAACCGCGTTCGACGTGTTCGATTCGTTGGATCGTTAATTTTTTTTTACACGTCGTGCATATATAGTTATTTACTGTCAAACATGGATTTAGAAGATTTGGCTAGTTTGGGAGACGTGTCGAAATTCGACATATCTCGTATCCGAAAAGCCACGCAAACGTCTATGCGATCGCATTTGAACCTGATACGGTACAATGGCGTAGAACTGACGAAACGTTATGTACAGGAAAACGATATGAACGCCATGCTGGACAAACTGAAAACGAGAAAGGGCCAACCGTTGAAATCGGAATACAAAATACAAATAGCGGCGACGCTCCGTCGTCTGTACGGTGCCGACATGGCTATAGACGTGGACGCGTACCGGAACGACGTATTACGGCACAAACCGCATGCGGAAAATTACGAAATCATGGAAAAAATAAAAAAACTCATCAACCACGCGGCCGAATTTCTGCGCACCGTACACGTCAGCAATTCTTTCGGAGCCGATCTGGCGTCGTACGAAGCGGCCATGGCTATACTGTTGTCGAGTGCGACCAGTCGTCGTATTATGGAACTGCATCAATTGACCATGCAAAATCTAAACGATATACTGCAACACAAACCGATATTCGTGCACAGCAAGGGGCACAAATCGTCGACGGTCCGTTGCGAAATAGTGCCAAACGATTTATTAGTAGCGTGTATAGGTTACGTGATGAAAAATCGAAAAAAAGTTTTGCGCGAAATCCGATTGCACGAGCGGTCTAACAGATATCCGGATTATACCGAGTCTCGGATAAAAAACGATTGTCTGTTCGTGATGTCGATCTCGCAACTGAGAAGAGCGGCCAAACAATTGGCCGTATCGTTTTCATTGGACATTGAAAATTTAGGTTTCAATAAATTTCGAAAACACATAACGACCATTCTGGTGGACGGTAGCGGTCACGGACTGGCGCAATTCATAAACGCGCACAGTTCCGTGACCACGACTCTGACCAATTACGATATAGGTACCAAAACCAGTATGGAGAAAACAATAAACGATCTGACGGCCGAACGCCCGACCAATTTAATGGACGAACTGCGATCGGCCGACAAGACTTATTTCACCGAACGGGCGGGGTCCTACGATTTACCGGAGAGTCCGTTTTCACCGTCGGTCGTGTACCGCGACCGCGACACTGACGATACACATACAAAGTGACGTAATGTAATTTTTAAATGTAATATAGTGTAAACGGAAAAGAAAAAAAACATGGACGCTGCACAACAAATCCCAAACTCCGTGACGAGTTCCATAGCCCAAAACTATATACAATTGCGACACCGACTTTGGTCGGAACAGGCGACGCGTGTCGATGGCAGCGGCGACACCGCTAAAACCGCAGCCAAAGATTTGCCTTTAGATCAATGTCCGCTGGACCACGTCGCAGTCACCATACCGTGGTTTTACGTAAACCGTTGCGAGTTTTCCGAACACCGGGCCGTCGACAACCTGTATTTCATATCGTACGAACGGCTGTCGGAAATCGTAACGCTGTCGAGCGACATAGAAACGGGTGACAACGACAAACAAATAGAAATCTGTCCGAAATTGGTCAAACTCTTGAAATCCAAAGAACCGGTCGATGCGGAAAACGTAGATGGTGTCGTATACAGACAAATAAAAGCCATATTGTCCACGTTACAAGAATTCGGTAGTTTTCAGGGCCAATTGGACGTCGACGACATATTCGTGGACGTATCACACGAAACCATTTCGTTCAACACCATCAGACGATACGAAACGGATCCCAATACGGGTCTGTTGACAAACGCGTACGAGAATCCCGTAAACGGGTATCATTTCTATTCCCAAGTGTCCGCGGAAACATAGGCGGAGCTTGATAAATTTAGTTGAGGGGGCTCAAGCCCTAGATTATTTAAAGAAAATAATTATTAATAACTTTCTATTTGCTTAAATATACCTTGTATTTGTTTTTAAAAACAAAAAAAATAAATTTTAAAAATAAAAACCATTCAGTGTTCAGTGTGTTGCAGTTAATTATATATCAATATAAATATGAACAAATAAACTACAATTTATTGATGTATTGCAGAGTATTTCAACATTACTACAAATACAAAAATAAACAGTAAAATAAAAAAATAACTTATGTAAAAGAAATAACTAACTGTTTTATTAAATAATATTATACATTTTAGATTTAAAAAAAAAAAGATTCCAATTTTGATCATGATAAAATAAGAATTTAAAAAATAAATATAAATGAGTAATGGACCATAAATTACTTTAAAATGTTAAATAGTTAATTGAATTCTTCTTGAACCACATTTGGCAAAGTCTTCAAGAATCTGTTTTGATTCAATTGATGTCTTTACTAATTCATTTTCTATGTGTATTATTGCCAAATTGCTAAATCTATTTTGAATCATAGTAGTCCTTAACCAATTTTTAATCCTTCTCATAGCTGAGAAGGATCGCTCACATGAAGCTGAGCTTACTGGTATACTTAGTGCCACTTGTAACAAATTATGTAAATTAGGATATAGTTCTAATGTAACTGTTGAAAACAAATCTTGAATAGTCCAATTTTTGATTTTGGAATTTAAATAATTATTTACAATCATCATTTCAGCTTTTAATATATCTTTTCTTATCTTTAAGTTATCACTATAATATTCAATGAATTCTAATGAACCATCAAAATCAAGCATAAAAAAGTTATCAATTGATTTTGCCAATTTTAGGCTTTCATCAGAAAACCTAGTTTTCATTCTATTAGTGATATTATCAATAATTGTATTATAAACATCAATTTTCCAATATTTTTCAATTGTTAAATTCTCTTCATGAGCTCCAATTGTAGAAGTTACAAGAGAACTTTTTAAATATTGATTCTCAACAGGTTTCCTTTTTTTTGAAAATTCTTCATAGTTCAAACAAACACCAAACTTTCTTGAAAAGTTAGTGATATCATCCCACAATAGTTTAAAATTCTTATCAGACCTTTTTTCTTGTAAAGTTTGTATTACACCATTAATTGCTGAAGTTGCTTGGCCTAATGTTATATCTTTTTTTTGTAATGTTTGACTTAATAGATCAATAGTTAATAAAATGTCATGAAATACAAATAAATTAAAAATAAATTGTGCTTTTTTTATTCCCTTTAAAATACCAACAGCTTCAACAGCATATTTATTTTTATTATTATTTATTTCTTCTTCTAATGCATTTATTATTGATTGATAATTAATTTTAACGTTATGGCAATTTTTGTACCTACATGCCCATCTTGTAGTACTTAGCTGTGTAAGTTCATGTGGTTTTAACCCCAATTTTTTTTGCATTTGAATAAATGTACTGTGGCTGGATGGTTGAGAAAAATGAATATAAAGCATTTCTAATAAATTAAAAAAAGTTATTGAACTTCTTATATGTTTACAAGTGTCAGTAACCACCAAGGCTAGTTTATGTGCTGCACAATGAAAGTATACAGCAGTTGGATATTTTTCTCTAATCTTAGCTTGTAGTCCTCCTACAGCGCCTGACATCACGCTAGCACCGTCATATGTTTGTGCAACAATGGGTATGTCAGCTATTTCTAATTGTTTTAGTTCATTTATAATAATATTTTTCAAACTTTCTGCATCCCTTGACTGAGAGCAATCAATAAATTTTATAAAACGTTCACATACTTCAAATCCATTACAATATCTCACACACAAACTCAATTGTTCTTCTTTAAATGAACGTGCCTCATCACATATTAATGAATACTTTCCACATCTTCTAATTTCATTTGTTATGACTTTTATAGTTGAATTGGATATAATATTGAGAATTTCATTTTGGATATCATGGCTTGTATATGATAAGTATGTATGATATTTTATTCTAAAATTACTGTCAAACTTACAAAATAGTTCACATAATTCTAAAAAATTTCCTTTGTTAGAACTTTCTTGTTTTTCATTGTGACCTCTAAAGGCCAGCCCCTGTCTAGCTAAGTACAAAATAATTTCAATAATATTTTGTATATATAACTGATTATTTAAAATGTCTGTTTTAAATTGATCTGAAAGTTGAGTATGAACATTACCATGGATTTTTGATTGTTTATATTGATTGTATTTTTCTATGCTACTACAATGACTTTTGCAGTTAGAATGTTTTTCTAATTTTTCACTTAATTTTTTCCAATTATTAAAACCAATTTTTTTAAAAATATCTTCTGATGTATTTAAGTTATCAAACTGTCTACATACAAAACAATATATAGAGTCTTGGTGAACACTATATTCAACCCAAAAATATTTTTCATAATATTTACAAGAAAATGAACGATTCTGTTTGCCTATTTTTTTTAATGGATAAGATAAAATTGGCTGTTTTGGGCCAGATTCTAAACTTCCTAAATCTATTACTGGATTACTACTTATTTGCTTATTAAATTCAATACAATTACTTTCATTTTCAGAATTATTTAAATATAAAAAACTGTTACCGGGATTGTTTTCTGGATTTTCTATTGAATCATTTTGATTATTTGTTGAAATACTTTTTGAAGTATTGGTGAAAAATGTTCTAATATCGCCAAAACGTTTCATGTTATAAGTTATAACTAGTGAAATACTGAAGTTAAAAACAATACAAACGTACTCACGCAGTCACGTATTCACTAATACTGAAGTTAAAACTAAAT